GACATTTAAATTCGCTTCCACACAGCCTTAGGAAAAAGCTCTAATTTGTATGTTTGCATGCAACATACTCTGCATTGCATAACGGTACAAGAGTGTGAGTGTGTGTGTGTGTGTGTGTGTGCATTGTAAGGTAGATTTGAATAAGCTGATTGCTGACATTGTCTATTTAATTCCATGCCTTGATGTAAACTTCATTGATTGCTGTAATGTGATATACAAATAGTCTGATTTGGGAATATTTTGTTTTAGGAGTGTCCCCTTCTCCGGGTGCTGTACTAGTCTTCCATTCCTTGCCCCTGGAATTTTCACTTGCCATGGCTTTCACTGAGCAGCTCCTAACTTGGAAACTAGAAGATGGAGATGAAAGGTCTGATGATGAGCTTGCTACAGTCCCATCCTCCGTTTTGCTGCAAGTGGTGGAACTTCTAGGTGAGATGCTTGTTACTTTATTTAGCAAATGCCTTCTTTATTCTGCAGTAAAAATCATTGAATATCATTCAAGGGGAATTTTTATTATTATTTTGCATTAAATAAAAGCATATTGAACATAAACCTTCTGTATACATTCAGATCAAGTGTACAGAATGATTATACATTTGAATAGAAGTAAAGCTACAACCAAACATCTAACATAGTAGTCAGTATATTGTCCACTGTGTGTAGTCAAATTGTTTAAAATACAAAACATATCAACAACAACATATGGCTCTAATGTCTATCTTAAAATAATAACACCATCTTAAATTACTTGTGTGTCTGTATTGATTGGTTTGCCACATGGATTAGCAAATATGGTTGTCACTAAGACCAGTACACTACATATCGGTCATCATTGCAGAGGGAAGGTGTGGTGTGTTCCCATCCAAAGTGACCTTAATTTTTTTTTTTTTTTTTTTTGGTAGTTTCGAACTTCATAGGTCATTTTGTATAGTGGTAATATTTCATTAATAAGTTCCTGCCATCTATCAATGGTGAGAGAGTCAGGAGATTTCCAATGCAGAGCTATAGTTTTTATCATGTACAACCTCGATTCCAAAAAAAATTGAGATGCTGTATTAAATCTACATTAAAATCAGAATGCAATGATTTGCAAGTCTCATAAAACCTTTCTTCACAGTGGAAAATAGAAAACATATCAAATGTCCAAACTGAGAAAATATACCTTTTAAAACAAAAATTGGAGGAATTTTGAAATTGATGGCAGCAACACATCTCAAAAAAGTTGGGACAGGGCTAAGTTTACTATGATGTAGTAGCATCCCCTCTTCTTTGGACAACACTCTGATAAATTTCCTCAGTGAAGACATATTTCAATTAGGGAAACGTCTGGACTGCTGGCAGGCCAGTTAAGCACCAAGACTTTCTTGCTACAAAGCCATGCTGTTGTCATAGATGCAGTACTCCGCATTGGTTCAGCATTGTCCTGTTGAAATATGCAAAGCCTTCCCTGAAAAGACATTGAATGGATGGGAACATATGCTGCTCTAAAACCTGGTTATATCTTTCAGCATTGGTGGCGCCTTTTACAGATGGGCAACCTGCCCATTTCATACACTCTAATGCACGCCCATACCATCAGTGATTCAGCACTGATACCAAACCATAAGGTTCCTCTCCTGTTTAGTCCGGAGGTCACAGTGCCCATGGTTGTCAAAAAGAATGTCAAATTTCGTCTGACCAAAGAATAGTTTTCCACTTATCAGACCATTTTAAACAAAGTTTGGCCCAGAGAAGACGATGGCATTTCTGGATCATGTTCACATATGGCTGCTTCTTTGCATGATAGAACTGTAACTTGCATTTTTGGATGGCATGGTGTGTTCACAGATGTGATTTTTGGAAGTATTCCTGAGCCCATGCAGTGAAGTCCATCACAGAATCCTGCCTGTTTTTAATGTAGAGCTGACTGAGGGCCCGAAGATCATGGTCATTCAAAATTGCATTTCAACCTTGTCCCTTGCACAAAGAGATTCCTCCAGAGTCTCAATCTTTTGATGATATTATGTACTGTAGATGATTATACATTTAAAGTCTTTGCAATTTTACATTCAGGAACATTATTCTGAAATTATTTGACAGTTTTTAGACGTAACTTTTCTCAGATAGGTGAACCTCTCGCCACCTTCTGAGACACTCGGACTGTCTAAGATGCTTTTTTTTTTTGTTTGTTTTGTTTTTTTTTTACTCAATCATGGTACTGACTAGTTGCCAAATAACCTAATTCATTCCAAAATGTTTTTTCCAGCTCTTCCTTGTTTGTACCACTTGCTTTGCCAGCTTTTTGTTGCTCTATCCCAACTTTTTTACATCCATAGAAAACTTTCTTATATGGACATTGACTGAAAGGTAGTCAGAATTAGGAAATGTGTAGGCTGCAATACTGTAATGTGCTTTTAAAAATGCTAGTTGCCTGGCATTTGTAAGTTATTAAACCATTCAAGGAACTGGCATTTTTAGGAGGAGATGAAAGCTTTTGCATTCCTTTATGATTTAACTCTATCTTCTTAAATATTATATCTGAAGGAAGTGAGGTGAGGGAAAATAAAGTTTCCTGCTACATGTGTTCCCAAGCACTGTGAGATGCATAGCTAGCTGCTAAGAGTATGTGCTTGCAGTCTGCATTCCCTGTTTAAGCAAGTTCTGGCTGTGTGCTTGTAGTTCACCTGTGCAGCATCTGTCATCAAGGAGTGTATAAGATCAGAAATCTTTGAACTTTGTTGGGAATAGCTTCAGCTTAGGCTAGGAAGGACTTTTTCTAACTTTCTACATTTCCTTAAAGTGTTACTAAACCCAGGACCCTGTATTCCCTATATCTGGACTCCTACAGTACATAGAACATGGAGATGCAATTCTTGTAGTAAATATAAGCTGATAAACACCTTTTCTCATAAGCAGTTAGACAGTCTTATGACTTCTATCAGTGTCCAGCTGAACAGTGGTTAAAGCTTGTAGGAGGAGTTTTCATTCTCCTTTGACTGTCCGATGAGGCTGCATAACCCCTGATCCTCTTTGTGGACAGTGCTGATTGGCCCTGTGTTAATCACAAGCACCCTCCCAAAAAAGAAAAAAAAAAAAAGCTCTATCCATACACACTAAACTGAGCATGTTGAGAGTTACTCCTTGAGCTCTGTACTATCAGCAGATGGATTGGAGACAGTAGAAGGGAGGATCAGGGAAGACAGGATCAAACAGCCTTTTTACACAATGTGGAGGATTAACCCCTTAGGTTCCACAGTGAGTATAACGAGCATGGTTTACTGCATATGCAGACTGATTTTTCAGTTCTGGGTTTAGTAACAATTTTAATGTCCTTTTTTAGTTTTTGTGTTTTTTTTTACAATTTCTAAGGATATGTTATTTGTCTTTGTTTAATTTAGCAAATTTACTGTGGACAACAGATCTAGCTGCTGTTATAAAGGAACTGCTCTTCCATCTGCTGGCTGAACTGCTGCGTAAAATTCATCACCTTGAGCAGAAAAAGAACCCCACTGGTCTGTCATCTTCCATAGCTCTGCAGCTGAATCCGTGCCTAGCAATGCTTATGGCTCTACAGACAGAACTGCGCAAGTTGTATGATGAGGAGACTCAGAACTGGAGTTCAGGCAATGCCTGTGGTGGCTCTGTACCTGGAATTGCTGAACAAGGCAGGTTCTCCACTTACTTCCATGCCCTCATGGAGATTTGCCTTGCTGTGGCAGAAGTTACTCTTCCTATTAACATGAGCTCTGCAGTGAGTGAGTGTGGTGTCCTCAACAAATGCCACAAAATCTTAGTGACTCCTCCTCATCTTCATCATCATCTCCTGGTCAGACTCCGCAAAGCCCAAGCTTACTCTCAAAGAGGAAGAAAAGTCAAGATCAAACGTGACAAGGCATCCACGGCCAAGCGCACTACTTCACGGGGAGCAGAAAATGACCCAGCCTTGCTTAGTATGGGAGGAAGCAAGCCAGAGGACATGTTGTGGTTCCACAGGGCACTGACTCTGCTAATGATTCTCAGGCATCTTACAAGTAAAGATCCACAAGGGTTGGGGGTCACCAATGATGCCATAGCAGATGCCAGTCAGGCACTGGTGGGTCCCACTGCCCATAGCCGTTTGCTTGTTATTTCAGGGATCCCCACTCACCTTGAAGAGTCTGTTGTTAGAGGGGCTATTCGGAAAGCATGCAATGCTCATGGCGGAGTTTTTAAGGATGAAATTTACATTCCCCTTCAGGATGTAGAGATTCCTAAACCAAAAGACAAAACTGAAGGCGCTGAATGCAAAACGGAGGTAGAGAAAACCACAATGCCAAACCCTGATAACATGGACATTAGCAGTTCCAGCAGTGTGACCCCTGCAGTTAGTGTCAGTGCCTCTGCTTCCACGAGCCAGGCTTCATTGTGCAGCTCACAGGGCGTTTCTCAGACCACCAGTGAGACGTCTGTAGAACAGTTTCCACCAGAACTTGCAGTGCCACAAGGCCTTCTAGAACCACATGCAATATCCAGCCAGGAGAGTTTAGACCTTTTCCATATGCAGTACGGGAAGCATGGGCAGTTTGGGCAGCCTTGTGGAGCAACTTGACAATGTAGAAATTTCCTCTTTGCCTGATATAGGATCAATGTTTACAGTCAGTGCACTGGATAACCATACATCTATGTCCCGACCAATCAAGGGATTTGCAGTTGTGGAGGTAAATTCTTTACATTCTTCTATTATTATTTTATGACATGCATGTATTTTATTACTTCAATGAAAGGGTTTAGTAAAAACAAAACTGTAACTTAGTTTTTTACAGAATGGGTGTAAAAAATTGTTTAAAATTTGACCAATTTACCTTTGCGTTTTTTCTTACTGGCTTATGCTTGGATTGGAAGGCAAGGGGTACAGTGGTATCATTTGTCTGGGCTCTAAGGCTAGGTTCACATCTGTGCGGGTGGTGCCGCTGCGGATGCACACTAAAATCCGTGCAGCCACACCACCCACACAGAGAAATGGGGACCCCCGCGGGCGGGTGTCATTAATTCTAATGTCATGCTGCCCACACTTAAATTCGCAACTGTACTGGGATCCGAGGTTCCCATGCGGGCTGCGTTTTCAGAAACACGCTACATCAAACCCAGACCGCTCCAACCATGGCAGAACGACCACACTAAATGCCTCAAACGCCGCAGTCGCGCGCTAGAGAGACTATGGCGCAAAACCAGGTCCCCCCGTTCATTCTCCCTCTACAAATCTGCCTTCCTCACTTACACATCCTCCTCCCTCCACGCCGCCTAGCAGGCTTACTTCGTAAACCTGATCAACACCCTCTCCTCCTACCCTCGCCGACTCTTCTCCACCTTCAACTCCCTACTCTCCCCCCCCCCCCCCCCTCCTCCACTCAGTACCTCACTCACCGCCCACGAAATTGCCACTCATTTCCACAACAAGATTGATGCAATCCGTCAGGACATAGTCAACTCGCAATCTACCTCCCCACCTAGCCCCCCATCTCCCCCCATCTCCCCCTCATCTCCCCCTCATCTCTTCCCTCCTCTGACCTTGCAACCGCACTGCCCCCCTCCACACCCAAGACCCCGCTTACCGTAACCCCCCCAGCTCTGCACTCCTTCAGCCCCGCTACCACTGAGGAAGTCACCAGGGTCTTCTCAGAAGCCCGCCTCACTACCTGCCCCCTGGACTCTATCCCCTCTCGACTCCTCCAGTCACCCCCCTCTTCCCTCATCTGCTCCCTCACCCACATCTTCAATCTCTCCCTCTCTACTGGCATATTCCCCTCCCCCCTAAAGCATGCGCACATCACCCCCATACTCAAAAAGCCCTCCCTGGACCCCTCTGACCCAAACAACCTCAGACCCATCTCCCTGCTGCCACTCACTTCCAAACTCCTGGAGCGCTTAGTCTACGACCGCCTAAGCGCCCACCTAACTGACAACAACCTCCTTGATCCACTACAGTCCGGCTTCCGTCCCCTACACTCCACCGAAACCGCCCTCCTCAAAATCACCAACGACCTACTAACCGCCAAAGCCAAAGGCGACTACTCTGTCCTCCTCCTCCTGGACCTCTCTGCGGCCTTCGACACAGTTGACCACCCCCTCCTCCTTAATAAACTACTCTCCCTTGGCATCAGAGACACCGCTCTCTCCTGGTTCTCCTCTTACCTATCCCGACGCTCCTTCAGCGTTTCCTACAATGGTGCCACCTCCTCTTCCCTCCCCCTCTCTGTTGGGGTCCCCCAGGGCTCTGTCCTTGGACCCCTTCTCTTCTCCATCTACACCTCCTCCCTTGGCAAACTCCTACACTCCCACGGCTTCAACTACCACCTCGACGCTGATGACACTCAAATTTACCTCTCCACCCCCCACCTCACCCCCACATTCTCCGCCCGCATCACTCACCTCCTAAACGACATCTCTAACTGGATGTCGCTCCATTTCCTCAAGCTTAACCTCTCCAAAACCGAGCTTCTCGTCTTCCCTCCTGCCCGCGCCCCCCCCCCCCCCCCCCCCCATCCTATCCATCACTACTAACATCACCCACCATCAATCCCGCCCCGCAAGCCAAAGTCCTTGGAGTCATTCTGGACTCTAACCTCTCCTTCCAACCTGATGTCAAATCACTTAGAAACACATGCAGGCTCCACCTCCGGAACATCGCCAAAATACGCTCCTTCCTTACCCCAGACACCACTAAACTACTCGTGCACTCCCTGATTATCTCACGCCTTGACTACTGCAACTCCCTCCTCACCGGCCTACCCCAGTGCAGGCTCTCCCCGCTTCAGACCATCCTGAACTCAGCGGCCAGACTCATCCACCTCACCACCCTCTCCACCTCTGCCACCCCCCTCTGCCTATCCCTCCACTGGCTCCCTATCGCCCAACGCATCAAATTCAAACTACTCACTCTGACCTACAAAGCCCTTCACAACACTGCCCCTAACTACCTCACCAACCTGATTCCCAAGTACCACCCTACCCGTACCCTTCGCTCTTCACAGGACCTCCTTCTATCTTGCTCCCTGGTCTCCTCCTCACACGCACGTCTGCAAGACTTCTCCAGGTCCTCCCCCATCCTCTGGAACTCACTACCCCAATCCATCAGACTGTCACCTTCCCTCCTCACCTTCAGGCGCTCCCTGAAAACCCACCTCTTCAGGGAAGCCTACCCCACCCTCACCTAACTGCTGCTCTCCTTCAATCCTCCTACCACTCCATCCCCCACAGCCACTTCCTCCTGTACCACTACCCCCTCCCTCCTAGATTGTAAGCTCGAAAGAGTAGGGCCCTATAACCCCTCGTGTGCTGTTTGTAGGTGCTGTAATGTTTCATGTATTGTCCACCCCTCTATTGTACAGCGCTGAGCAAACCCTTTGGCGCTATATAAACTAGATGTAATAATAATACAGTAGGCATTTTTTTAATAAATGACTACTCTCTTGAATAGAGTGAGAAAAACTTAGGACCAAAGCTCACTATACTTTGTGTTTCCCCAGTTTTGAGATTTTACCATCTTTTTCTGTCTCTGTAGCAGCCTGTTAGGAAGCAGAATGAGCTGGGTAAAGACTGGTACCTCTGTTAGGATTTTATTGCTATGCTTTATTGGGTATATTTATATATAATTATGGATAATGTATGTATGTCACTATGAGATGATTCTAAGTATTTTTAATGAACTTGCCCAGCTGTTGATGCTTTCAGGAATGCTACAGTGTTCATGTATACAAAATGTATCCAACAAGCACATCAGAAATAATAGTCCGGGCCATTGGTAATAAAGTCAAATGTGAAGCTGCCAATTTGCCTTGCATATGTTCATGCCATTAGAGTCTCTTAAATCGGCTAAACCTTTTCACTGTTTATTTCCATTGCAGGTGCGTTCCAGAGCAAAAATTGAGAAAATCCGAGCAAGTTTATTTAATAGCAGTGATCTGATTGGTTTATCAAGTCTGGATGGTGAAGATGAACTTATGGAAATGTCTACAGAGGAAATACTGACAGTCTCCACAGTAAACCAGAGTTTGTTTGATACCCAGGGAATTCCAGGCTTGGGAGATTACTTCACTGATAAAACCCTAAAAGGTGAACTAGCACAGTGTTTTAACAACATGTTGTGACAGTTTATAGGCATTTGTGGATTACATTTGCTGTCAGAATCAGTACTCCACCAGTAGTTCCACTGTTGTATTTACATGGCGTGGAGCCAACCAAGTGTTAACTTGCTTTGCATTATTTTCTGTTCATTTGCTTTGTTGTCCTCTTTTATTATTCCTGCACCTCAGTGTACATCCCAGGATGCTTTGGGGAATTATGGATATACAATTTGGTTATATATCAGGGTTGTTTTTTTAAATTGCTCATGTAATTAAAAAAACAAAATAAAAAGCCATCTAGCTGTTTGCTTTATCATTTCATAGGTGACAAGTTGGTCCCAGAAGCGCGAGATGTTCTAACAGAAATATTCAAGAGCTGCATTCACGCTGAACAAATGCTCAGCCTGACCCCGGCTAAGTTCATCAAGGTATCAGACATTTATCTGAGCAAAGAGCAGATCAATTCCCAGACACCAGGAAACCTTCTACATACATTCTTCACCAATGTTCGACCCCCAAAAAAACTCCTGGAAGATCAGCTTACACAGGTAATAGTTTCCAGCTCCAAAATTGTGCCCTTCCACTTTGTTTTTAGGAAAAGTTAGATTAAAAAAACATTTGAAATCCATATTCTAATTGTAAAATGTTTTCCGTTTTGAACTTTATGTATTATTGCCTACTTGCTCAGTGAAAATATGATGTGTCATTTACTAAACTAGACGACATAGAGGTGAACTTGTGTATTTATTGAAAATAAAAAAATTGCATATCTAATGGGGCCAAATCGATTGTTCACCTGTACAGGTTGACAGTAGTCGTTTTAGAGAATATTACAATATGACCAATGGACGGAGTTGAAAATAATAAGAAATAGAAGGATAGCATTTGATTTTTCCCCATTCACACAGAACAAATGTACCAGTAGTTTCACTGGGTGAATAGTTAATAAATTTTTTTTTAAAAATACACCCCTTTGTTTTTGGTGGAAAACTCATGACCCTTAAATAACTGTTTTATGTGTTATCTGTTTATTAGTGTAACCAATGTTTCCTTCTTGGCTTTAGATTCTGAGGAAATATGGCATTCCTAAGCCAAAGTTTGACAAAAGCAAATACAGTAAATCTGGTAAGGAGCAGCATCCAGTAAAGGTTGTGAGCACCAAGCGACCAGTGAGCAAACCTTCCGCTAAGGACAAAGCTGTATTTAATAGTGTTCGGTAAGTATGGGAGCAACCCCTTTCCCCGTGCTACTACCCACTTATCCTACTAGTTCTGTATAAGTCTGTAAAGATATCAGTATATATGCATGGCATTGGTCACAGGGTGGGATCCATGCTGTATGAGTTGATGATGGGCTTGCTGGGAATATAGTTGTGGCTTTGTTCAATCTCCCACCTTGCATTTTGGGACTTTGCAGGGTCTTATAAGCTTGTGGGCTGAGTTTTGTTTCCATATAGAAAATCTGATGAGACTATTTAAATACTTAATACATCTGCCCCAAATACTTTCTCTTAATTGTACAATACAGGATATGTAGTCAATGTCATAGCTGCTACCTTCGGGTGATTGGACACTGACAAAAGCTTGGCTGGGGATGCTCCCCAGTGTACCTTCATATCACTCTTTGGGACTTCAGGTTTTTGCTGTGTCCCCTTCTCCTTTGGAGAAACTTTCTATACCAATTCCTTTATTTTTCTTTGCTACTTTGACTGACACATCTATCGGGATCAAACTGCTTATTGCCTCAGGGCTCACTAGCAGTTTCCGGATTGGTTGCTCCTCGGTCTTTATCTTGGGAACCGTATCTGGACCCTAAATTTGTAGGGCTAGCGTTTGTTTGCTTCAGGTATTAGATCCTGCTTTCGGTGCACAGCTGGTTGCAGGGTTGTGATTCACTCCTATGACACCCAGACCCTGAAAACCCTTTTAGAAACCAGCAGCATGGATTAGGTAAGACAATGTTTTTCTGTAATTGTGACTGTGTCCTTTTTTACATGCAGGGTGTTATTTCACTTAGTGTGTTGTTATCCCCCTCTGTAAATGTATCTACTTCATTGACAGAAGGTATTGTTTACCTTTTTGAATTTGGTGTT